TAAAATGATTATAAAACCAAAAAAAAAAAGTTTAAAGACAAAAGACAAACGTTGACCAAAAAAAAGAGGCAAACTTTGAAAACCAATCTGTATATTGGGGGATCTTTCCAAGTACACGAAGAGGCATTTCCATTTCCAATTTCCGCTTCCCAAATATATTCTACATACCTTTCCTTGTAATTTATAAGTATTTGTTCTTGTATATTCACACACACTTATACTTCTTTTGTCTATTTAAGAAGTTTATATAANGACAAGATTAAAAATAGAATATTTTAAATAATTTTGCGTTGAAAATACAAACAACATTTTTATAACAGAAAATAAAGTTCTACAACGACAATTTGCATCCAAAATAACTGATGTTTGATATACATTTTCGCATTGAGAAAATCTATAACAGTGACACATTATTTAGTAATATGGAATTATTACATCTCGATGTTCTGATCTGAAATATGAAAACTTTTCTACACTTCTGTTAATTAATTGGCTAATAGGTGCTTTAATCAGATCTCAAATGTATCCAAAGGCAACAAAGAACGAGCTCATTTTAAAGCCGGTCGGAAAAATAATCAATAACATAGAACATATCGAATTAAAATAAGTACCCACTAGCCAAAAGAAATAGAATTTTTGCATCAATCCTTTTTTTTTTGGCCACGTATCAATCCTTTTTTTTCTAAAGTATATAAAGTGTAAACCCTAAAAGAAAGCTACGTCTTTCACGATCACTAATGTTCACATCAACCAACCATTTAAGTAAGAGAGGCTTCCCAAAAGAGGGAAAAATAACATTTTTTTTTGGTTAAAGATAAAAATAACAATTTGAAGATGGTCGATGGTGATTAAAGATCAATTTGTTTTTTAATCTCAAAAGATATAATAGATCTAGTGATTAACAATGTGTTTGTTTTTTTTAATCACAAAAGATATCTTTGTTTCCTTATAACTACGTGGAATCTAGTTGTCTTAAATAAATGAATTATAACAATACATATTGAGAATTTTACACTACTACAATATGTTTTTTTGTTCTAAACAATACTACGATATAAACTTACTATTTCATTGGCTATTCGAAGTTCTTCTTTTGAATAAGTTTTTCAAAT